GGAAATTAGAGGAGAAAAAAACGACCAGCCCAGGGCTGGGCCTTGCAGTTGACCGTTGTCGTATGTTCCCATCTGGCCAGGCCCTGGCTGCCTGGATATGTCCTGCATTATTCATCATGGTACTCATGGCAGGGTTGGCCAGGTCTCCAGGATTCTGGAAGGCCTTGGGGGAGGGCAGGCATGGCTGGAACAGTGAGGGTAACTGGGGGAGTGAGGCTGCATCGAAGATGGCTTGTAAGAAAGGCTTGCCATTCAGTGAGTTTGGCTTCTAATGTCATTCACTGAATACCATGATTCATTATTATTCATTAATGGATTCCTTCATTCATTTGACACATAATCACAAAGCACCAGGCCACACTGAGCAGCCAGAGATTCTGCTCTGAATGTAGTGGGCCCTGAAAAGTTGTGGTTTGGGGCAGGACTCCTGAGTGAGCGGTCAGCACGTGAGATTTGTGCAAAGGGGGGTGCGGAGGATATCAGCGTGGCCTGAGGCCTTGAAGTCTGGACTCTACCCACAGGGTGAACGAGGGGTGGGTCTTCGGGTGGAGATCCCACAAGTCTGAGCCCCAGCCAGCCCAGTCTGGCTGACAGAGGGAAGCAGTTCCCAGGAGAGGTCTGTGGCAGTACCCTCAGGACACAAAGTCAGTGCCCTGCTGGGTAGGAAGGCTGTTGCCTCAGGTCTCTGAGGGAAGAGCCCTTGCAAAGCTGCCATCCTACCCCTGCCAGATTTGCATGCCCCTTCTCTGCTTCCAAGGGCACTCGGAGCCCTCCTTGCTTGTCTTCCTGTCTCTGTCCACTCCTGAGACTGTGGTAGCTGTTGGGGCCGCTGAGGGGAACACTCAGGGCTGAGATGAACTCCCTCTGTGGTTGCCTTCTATCCCCTCACAAGTTTCTCACCTGGTACACGTGGCTGAGGAAGGAACCCAGGAGAGAGGCAGGCATCCGGGCTGGTCCAGTTGGGCCCATAGTCCCGGACTTTGGTTGAAACCACTAACAAGCTGCTACTAAGCAGGGAAACAAAAATGAGGGTGGAGTAAAGCCTGGGTTAGGGGAAACTGCCATGCTTTCTGGGCCTGTTCATTCCTCTGTGGAATCAGACTCAGGACCCCTAGGTTCACCTCCTACCTGGTTGGCGGGTTCTAGTTGAATCATCTGTCTTTGCTTCAGTCTTTGCAGGTGCGCCAGACTTAGACCAGTCTGTGTTGGGGAGCGGGTGGGAGGTAAGAGAGAGACACACTTGAGAGAGCTCACAGCCTGGACAGGAAGGACTCTAATGTGAGAGGCCCCAAGGCCTCAGCAGAGGGGACCTCAGCATGATGGGGTGGGGTAGTTAGAGTGTCAAATTATCAGGGGCTCCTAGAGATGCTCTAGGATCCCTTTAGGTCTTAAATGTATTATTTTTTAATTTTTATATACTTTTTGGTTTTTTCCCCTAAAATGTATTTTATGGTTCCACGGGCAAAACACTGAACTAGCCTCTAAGGGAAATATAATGAAAACAAAATGAAGTTGCCCAGTTGCCAAGGATCTCATAATCCAGTTATGGAGCAGACACTTCCTGAACGTCAGGACGGTGGTGCCATTGGCAGCATAAAGGCTGGTAGGTTCTGCCTGGGGTGCGAAGTTGCGGTGAGAGCTGCTTCAGCAGGGAAGGGTTAGTAGGACTCAGGGAGGGGGAGGAAGGGCCCCCAGGCCAGGGTAGGCGGAGCGGCTGTCTCTTCACCTCAGGCACTTCCGCCTACCAGCCCCCTGGTCCCGGAGCTCCAGGCCTTCTTGCAGGTGTCGTGTTCTGGTGAGAAGGCAGGAGGCCGAGTGGACAGAGGGTGAGGAGAGCCAGCAGGAAAAGGCCGTGAGGCGCAAAAACTAGGGTTCGCTGATGGATATCCAGGACAGATACTGACTGCTCGGCCTTTGCCCTCTGGCAGTTTCTAAACCAAGTAGCCAGTGAGGCTTAATGGAAGAGCGAAATGACTGTAGCCTTTGGGTGGCAGGTGCCTGAGGCCCTGCTACCGTCCTGTAGGGGCTGTTGTGGGACTGTTCCAGTCCATGGCCTCTCTGCCCCTTTTCCTCATCTGGAGGTATGGTCCTATAATCCCGAGGCCCCAGAGGTATTCAGGGTCCTAGATACAGAGAAGCACAGAACTGGACGGGAACTTCCGGCCCATTCTGCCCAGGGCTTGCACTTATGGAAGCCGGACCCTCTATCTAAGGCTCCCTGAATATTCAATGCCCTTGCGTCAAAGAAGCCACGCAAATTGCCAGTCTAAGGTCTACACTTGGCTGGGCAGGACCAAAGCTGAGGAGGTGGGTCTGGGAGGTGTGTAAGAGGAGCCTGAAGCCTTGGCGATATGTGTAGGGTACAGAAAGGTGACACAGCTGTACCAATTCAAAGAGAGAATGACTGGCCAGAAGCCTCCTCCAATCTGCTTCTCCCCAAACACACTCTGCCTCTACCCCTTCCCCAGGGAAGAATGTTTCACTTCTGCTCAGGAGGACCTAAGTGCTTCCAGGGCTGAGGGAACCTTGAGGGTCCACCTGGGCACTTGTGCCTCTTATCTGTAGGGGCCAGACCTGCCCCGTTTCCTAACTTGTCTCACCATACAGTCAGACAACTGTAAAAATAAAACATGTTTATTGCTGCAAAACCTTATTAATACAGGTCCATAATCTCTTACCCGAAACCCTTAGGGCCAGATGTATTTCAGAATTTAGAATTCTTTGGGCTTTAGAAAGCTACCCAGATATGGATGCTGAATATTACATAATACTACCAGAGGGGTCTGGGGTGACACCCCATAATCCCCCAGATCAATATTTCTGTGGAAAATTGTGAAAAGGCGCACTAGAGGAATAAATGAGCATGAATAACACTTTTTTTTGGGGGGCCACACCGCATGACATATGGGATCTTAGTTCCCCGACCAGGGATCCAACCTACGCCCCCTGCAGTGGAAGCACAGAACCTGACTTCACTTTAAGGTTTTTTGTTTGTTTTTCCTCCCACCTCTCTCCCAGGTCAGTTTTTTTTTCTTAGTTTTAGTTTAATATTTATTTATTTTTGGCTGCATTGGGTCTTAGTTGTGGCACATGGGATCTTTCCTCGTGGCACACAGGCTTCTCTCTAGTTGTGGTGCGCAGGTTCCAGAGTGAGCAGACTCAGTAGTTGTGGTGCACAGCCTCTCTAGTTGTGGCGCACGGTCTCAGTAGTTGCGGCTCATGGGCTTAGTTGCCCCGCGGCATGTGGGATCTTAGTTCCCCGACCGGGGATCGAGCCTATGTCCCCTGCATTGGAAGGCAGATTCTTAACCACTGGACCACCAGGGAAGTCCCCCAGGTCAGGTTATGATGACAAAGTTAGGAAGAAACTTCTGGCTTTTGGCGTTTTTCTTGGATTTCAGAATTGCAGATAATGGATTGCAGACCTATACTTGCTTGCCTGTTTACAGAACAGCACAGTTGTCATTGAGACTTTTGGTGCAGTGGCCAGACTACCTGGCCTCACATCCCAACCCTGGCATGAACCAGCTGTGGGACCCTGGGCCTCAGTTTCCTCACCTGTAGCAAAGGAGTATTAATTCTCCCACACAGGTGTGCTTTGAGGATTAAACAGCTTAGTATACAGTACAGTGCTCAGAGCCCTGCTTAGTATGTGGTTTGCTCAGCATATATGGAACATGACAACATCACTGAGAAAGACAGACATTTAAGACACGTCTTCAGGACAATCTGATAATTACAAGCTCACTGCCGAGGTCCTGCAGGCCACCAGGGCAGGCTGAATCTTTTTCTAGTATTACAGTCGTTCACATCCTCAGGCTCGGAGCCTCCCAGGGCTGCAGACACGGAGGTTTCAAAAGTCCCCACAGGAGGCTCTGTCACACCTTGGGGTCAGCTGAAGGGGAGGCAGAGGGTGCCCTGGGAGGGGTCAGGCCTTGTGTCCTTTATGACAGTGGAGCACTTCCTCTGTCTGCCAGGGCTCTGGAGTCCCAGCCCCTTAGCACATCAAATGGCCGTGAGACTGGATTCTTGTTCACAGAGGAGACATGGGGTTTCTGCTCCACTGAAAATGCAAAGGTGAGGCTGGGCCTTCTCCAGACATATCCTTCACAAGCATTTCCACAGGACACAGTGAAAAGGGGTCTTTCCCTTATTGTAAAAGTAACACGTGCTTATTGCAAAAATTCAAATCATTCAAAAGGACGGGAAATAATGGAAAATATGGCCTGTGTTGTTTCTCATCCTCCAGCTGCCTGGGACCAACGAACAAGCCCCCAGGCACCTGTCTCTCTGAGCTTCTCCTCATATACACAAGGACACCCACACACCACACATACACTCACCCTCACATACACCCTATATCCTCTCACCCTCACACATACACACCCACACACCCTCACATACACATGTTCCCACCCTTGCCGCCTCCCCTACACCCTCACAGCCCCAACACTCTAGTCTTCCCCAAAGCGGATCAGACATACATAAAAGAACACACTTATAAATGAGGCAGGTATTCAGCCATTTCTTGCTGACGCTAGCACGTGCATGAAGGATGCTGCCCCTGTAACTCTTTGACTGTTGTTCTGGTTCTTTCCTGACTGCCCAGACCCTTGGTTTTCACGTTCGGGAAGTGGGAATGAGAATAACATAGCCAAACTCTCACAGGGTGCCTGAGAAGCTCAAGTGGGATTTACACTAACATGAAATCATTTTGCAAATTGTCAAGTGTAAAACAATCTGAGGAATTACTACGGCCCTTCTCCCCATCCCCGAAACGGGAAATAATTAGACTTTTAAAAGGACTTCAGGAAGATGGCAAAGCTATCCTAGTGGCACAGACCACTCGTAACGAGACTGATAGGGGTGAGGACGCCTCAGTTTGGGGGTGGGGTGGGCCCTTCACAGTCAGATTTCATACCAGCCAGCCAGTGCCGGGGGCCTTCAGGTCCCCAAACACCCCACAAAACACCTCCTTGATCTGTGACGGTGACCTTCTGTCAGCAGATGAGTTGAGTAGCCCCTGCTCTTGCTGGGCTTTGGGAATTATGGGGGTCCTCTCCACCTGCAGGGAGAAAGGAGGGAGGTGACCCCAGCTCCAGGATGGTGGGATGGGGCAGGAGGCTGAGGCCAGGGAAAGCACCCACCCCATGCCCCGCCCCCATCCTGAGTTCCAAGGCATCCCCGCCATGCTTGAACACCTGGGGCTTCCTCTCCCCAACTGGTCCATCCCACAGTCACCTGGGGCTTGCTCGTAAGATTCCTTATTCCTGGCTGTGGGGAAAGAGAACACAAGAGAGGAGGTGGGTGGTGTGTTCCCACATTATCCCTCCCGCTCCCACTGTGGGCCCTTCCCAAAGTCAGGCCCAGTGGTCTCCCCTGACTGTGGGATCTGCAGGGTCCTCGGGGTGGTGAGCAGCTGTGGGGTGGGGACGTTTGGGCTTTTCCACAGGTGGGGGACGGGGCAGGACCTCAGCAGTAGTTGCTGCTCCCCAGGAGGGAACAGTTCTAGCTGCAGGGATGGGAGCACAGCATTCTTCCCCATAAGGCTGGACCAGCCAGAGGGCCTCCCACTCCTTTGTTTCTTCCCCACCTACCTTGAATGCACTTGGTCAAGATCACACCACCAACAACCACCAGCAAGACCAGGATGAGGGAGATAACCGCGGCAGTAAGTCCAGGATGAGAGGACTCTAAGAAAAGACAGAGAAAAGGGGCGCCCCCCCACCCCCAGTCCATGGGACTGTCTCCAGGTGCCCTGGGCCCTCCCCAGCCCCTCCTCACCCGCTCCGGGCCAAGCCCCAGCTCCTCACCCCAGGACACAGTGAACGTGTGGTTCAGGCTGGAGTGCTGCACGCGGCAGGTGTACTGGGCCTCTTTCCCCGCCGGCACCCACACAGCCGCCCACGTCTGATAGGTGCCGTCCCCACTGGGGCGTGTCTCCGCATACTCGGAGTCCAGTTCCTTCTCCCCCAGCCACCAGCTCAGCAAGATGTTGTGTGGATAGAAGCCCAGGGCCCAGCACCTCAGGGTGGTGCCGCCATCCTTGGCCGAGTGCTCTGTTATCTGCACTGTGGGTGGCTCTGCAGGGAGAGGGGGAGCGAGGAAGGGTGGTGAGTGCCTGCGCTCTGCCCATCCCTCATGCTTAATCCCGGGCTCCTCCCGCATCCTCCAGGGCGGAGGACAAGGAAATAGGGACAGGGTCTCTCTCCAGGGGAGGCACCCAATTACTGCTGCAAGCAGGGACAACCCGTTGCCCACCATCCCAGAGGGGCACTGGCCCGGGAACTTCCATGAGGGGGATATGACTTCCTGACCCCAACCTCCAAGGAGGTCTAGGGTTTTCTCAGAGACTTGACATACTTCCCCCTGTGACTTCCTGCATATAGGAGGTGCCTAATAAGACTTTGTTAAATGAGGGCAAGAAGCATCATACTTCTCTGACCCTATAATGAGAATGGTTATGACTGTGGGCTCCAGAGATGGACATCCTGGCCATGAAGCCCAGTCTGACTCTGGTCCACAGCCCTCTGCCAGCGCTCAGGGCCTTCCTTCAACATTCCTTCCACTCAGAGTTCGAGTTCCAAATGACGTAATTCAGGGGTGATAGTTCATTTTCTGTATCCACCCCCCCGGGCCACGGGATGCCCAAGCATTTGGTCAAACATCTTTCTGGGTGTGTGATGGTGTTTCTGGGTGGTATTAACATTTGAATCAGTGGACTCAGTAAAGCAGATTGCCTTCTGCAATGTGCGTGAGCCCATTCCCCGAGCTGAAGATCTGAACGGGACAAGGAGGCTGAGTAATAGGGAGCTCCTCTAGCCTGACTACTGAGCTGGAACACGGGTCTCTCCTGCCTTGAGACTCAAAAAATGAAACACTGGGCTTCCCTGGTGGCGCAGTGGCTGAGAGTCCGCCTGCCGATGCAGGGGACGCGGATTCGTGCCCCGGTCCGGGAAGATCCCACATGCCGCGGAGCGGCTGGGCCCATGAGCCATGCCCGCTGAGCCTGCGCTTCCGGAGCCTGTGCTCCGCGACGGGAGAGGCCACAGCAGTGAGAGGCCCGCGTACCGCAAAAAAAAAAAATGAAACACTGACTCTTCTTGTGCCTTGAACTTTCTGGCATTCGCACTGGAACTACACCATTGGTTCTCCCGGTTCTCAGGCCTTTGGTCTCAGACTGGAACTGCAGCATCAGCTCTTCCTGGGTCTCCAGCTTCCTGACTGCAGATCTTGGAACTTCTCTACCTCCATAGTCATGTGACCCAACTCCTTAGAACACATCTCTTTTTTTCTCTCTGTGCATCCTGTGGGTTCTGTTTCTGTGGAGAATCCTGACTAATCTACCAGGTGAAGGACAGAAGATAACACCTGGTGCTGAATGAGAGTTCCACACTACTTATTCAACGCACACCAATGTTTGCTTTGGGGAGGCAGCAGGTATTATTACCATCCTCATTATACTGATGAGGAAACTGAGGCACAGAGAGGGCAAGTAACTTGCCCAAGGTCACACAGCCAGCAAATCCTGGAGCTGAGCTGTGTATCTAGAGGCTAGGCTCCAGCGCCTGAGCCCTGAACCACCACGCTCTGCTCTTATAATCACATCTTCTGCTCCTGTTGTTATCTGTCCTGTCCTCCCTTTGAGGAATATCCTCCCCATTACCTCAACTGATTCACATCCCACTACTCAATCACCAGACATCACGGTGTGCTGGGTGCTCTGATCAGCCCCACCCCCAGCAGCCTCCCTGACCACCACAGCCACGAGGCTTTCACCCTCGGCACCCCAAAGCACCCACCTTCCCTAGTGTCCATCCCAGCCCTTGTGTCTCCAGCCCTGCCGACTGGGTTCAGGGGAAGTTTGCGATGCACCTGGAGTCTGGGGAGCATGTTTAGCATGAGGGGTATGAGGGAGGAGACAGGCAAAGGGTTTCAGTTTCCCTGGCAGTCCCCAGTGGTCCAGGGAGTGGTGAGGGATGCTATCCCCTGGGGCCTGGGGTCTGTTTCCCAAGGAGCAGAGCCAAAGGATGTTAACCCCCAAAAGGACTTTATAAGCACCTAGTTTAACCCACTCGCTCTGTAGGTGAACAAAATGAGGCCCAGAATAAGGGGGTTTATTCTCCAAGACCACACTGGGACAGGGGAGACTCCAGAACTCCCCACTCCACCTCACTTGGGGTGAAGGCCTGTGGTCTGAGCTTTCTTCCTCCTCTGCAGGAAAAAGTTGTTGGCTAGCTGACCATCTTTCTGGGTCCCAGTGGGCTTGTCTGAGCCAGGGGGACACTGCCTGCTTCCTCACTCCCCCCGCCCCCACCAAAGGCTTCTCTGTCAAATGGGATGGCTCTTGAGAATGGTAGCATGGGGCCATTCTGCATTGCCACAGGGTGGGCCTTACCTCTCCGGCTGAATCTCTGGCCTCCCAGCTCCAGGTATCTGTGCAGAGAGGCAAGGCAGGGGCCTTCCAGGTAGGCCTTGTCATACTCTGCGTAGCAGCGCTCTGTCTCCCACCAGTGCTTGGTCCGCATGGCCATGGGCTCAGCTGACACCCAGCTCAGGGTTTCCAGGTCCAGCGACAGGTGGTCCTGCCCATCGTAGCCAAACTGCCAGAAGCCCCTGTAGCTGCCGTCTTCCTGGATCTCACAGCCGAACATGCGCTGAGTGCTGTGCATACCTGTGTGTGCAGGTAAGAAGGCTTTGGTTAGTGGTGACTGGGGGTGTCAAGTCCCTGAGAGGCACGGAGAAGCCTACCACCCAGAGGGGCCTCCAAAGGGTGGAGGGACAGGGTGTCAGCATTTAAAAAACAAAAACAAAAACAAAAACTGGGGCTTTCCTGTGGTGCAGCGGTTAAAAATCCGTCTGCCAATGCAGGGGACAAGGGTTCTAGCCCTGGTCTGGGAAGATCCCACATGCCATGGAGCAACTAAGCCCATGCACCACAACTATTAAGCCTGCACTCCAGAGCCCGTGAGCCACAACTACTGAAGCCCGTGCGCCTAGAGCTTGTGCTTTGCAACAAAAGAAGCCACCGCAGTGAGAAGCCCGCGCACCACAACGAAGAGTAGCCCCCGCTCGCCGCAACTAGAGAAAGCCCACATGCAGAACCGAAGACCCAATGCAGCCAAAAATAAATAAATAAAATAAATAAGTTTATTTAAAAAAATCTCCCAAGTAAGTTTGATAAGCAGCCTGGGCTGAGAAACCTGCTGGGCCTCTCATGTGGGACGAACACTCAAGTTCATATTTAGACACATCCTTATTTCATATCCCACACTACTTACGGGTGTATAATGTCCTCAGTGCTAAGACTACGTCATGCCATGCTTATCCTGGGGGCCCTGGGCTGATGCACAGCCCTTCCCAGGCTCAGTCCTTTATATCTACTCTTTCTTTCTTTTTGCGATACGCGGGCCTCTCACTGTTGTGGCCTCTCCCGTTGCGGAGCACAGGCTCCGGACACACAGGCTCAGCGGCCATGGCTCACGGGCCCAGCTGCTCTGTGGCATGTGGGATCTTCCCGGACCAGGGCACGAACCCGTGTCCCCTGCATCGGCAGGCGGACTCTCAACCACTGCGCCACCAGGGAAGCCCTATATCTACTCTTTCTGAGGCCTCTGGGGACCTGAGGCTTTTAGTCTGGTCATTTGGGTGTGTCTGGCCACAGACCAGAAGGGTGTTGTGTCAACGAGCTGTGCTCCATAAGCACTTTATGGAGAATTAGCAGCAGCCTTGGTGGTAGCTGTAAGCTCGCTACTGCTGAGATGGGGAAGCTGAGATGGCATCTTGAGGACCTGGGGTGGGCAGGTGTGATTTGAGGGTGGTGCGTGAGGCAGGGAAAAGCCTCGCCCAGTCTGCTGAGGTCCAGAGCCCTGGCTAGCCAAGTGGAGAGGGGGAGCTATCATGGGCCCTCTGCTCCTGTGGATGCTTGCTTCACTGGCCTGTGGGCTGGCTGCTGAAGCCCTGATTCTGAGGTCCTGAGGCCCCTGCTTGGCTGTGGGGGAAGGAGACTGAGAAGAGCCAAGTATCAGAAGCTTGCCCCACACCCTATGATGGGCATGGCTGCCTCGAGGGTCAGTGTGCAGAGCGCGAAGCATGGGGAGTCTGCCCAACGCACCGCTGCTGTGGTTGTGGTAGCCCATCACCGTCCACATCTCCACCTGCTGCACCTCCGCCCATTTCTCGTGCTTCCTGGTCTCCGTCTCCCAGTACTGGGCATCCATTGGCGTCATCCATGGGGCCTGGGGCTCAGCCTTGCCCACACGACTGTCAAACCGGATGAAGGGCTGGTCGTCCACGTAGCCTACAGCCAGAAACTTAGGGAGGCTTGGGCCTGGCTCTGATAGGGTCAGGTAGTAGTAGTGGAGCAAGTGTGTCCCTGTGGAAACACAGGCTGGTCTCAGGCTCACATGGACTGCCTGGGTCTGCACTGGGTGGGGGTTGGGGGTGGTGGTCAGTGTACTGGGTAGGGTTGGCAATGGAAACGTATCCAGAGAATCCGTTATCAGCAAGAACTGGGAATTTCAGTGGAAAAAATAAGGGCATACAAAGAGTTTAAATATAGACAGAATCAGTCAAACACTGAGAACGAAGTTCATGCAGTAAGTCTCATGGATTTTATTCCCAGAAAGTTTCTCAGCTCTTCACTCAGAGCCTACTTACTCATACTTTATACTCATACTTTTTTTTTTTTTTTTTTTTTTTTATTATTATTTTTTTATTTTTTTTGCGATATGTGGGCCTCTCACTGTCGTGGCCTTTCCCGTTGCCGGATGCGCAAGCTCAGCGCCCATGGCTCACGG